AAAGGGAAAAAATAGGGGAAAAAACTTTAAAGGAATAGTTCACCCAAAAAACTTTAATTATGCCATCATTTACTCAAACCTGAATGACTTACTTTCTTTTGTGGAACATAAAATAAGGTATTTTGAAGAATGTTGGCAAAAAAGCTGTTTTGGTTACCAATGACTTCCACTGCATGAATGGGGGAAAAAAACAGATGTTTCTCAAATTATCTTCTTTTATGTTTCATAGTTTGTTGAATCAAATAAAATATTTCTTTCTAAAGCTACTTTTTGTAATATCTACTTGATACTTTTCTCATTTAACATAATATGTATACATATCTTACATTCCTCTTCTTAAAATTGAATTAAACTCTTTTCTAAAATCCCAGACAAAACCCTAAGATTTCTTAAATATTATAGAGAAATATTGAAAGAAAATAACAATAGGCCTAGATGCTTTCCTTTGTGGAACATAAAATAAGGTATTTTGAAGAATGTTGGCAAAAAAGCTGTTTTGGTTACCAATGACTTCCACTGCATGAATGGGGGAAAAAAACAGATGTTTCTCAAATTATCTTCTTTTATGTTTCATAGTTTGTTGAATCAAATAAAATATTCCTTTCTAAAGCTGCTATTTATAATGTCTACTTAATACTTTCTCAATTAACACAAAAATAGATTAAATAATCTTTTGGGGGTATTTTCACTGCCAAATGTAGATTAATTAATCGACACATCATGTAATTAATTAGATTAAAAATTGTAATTGACTGACAGCCATTATATATATATATATATATATATATATATACACTGACCAAAATTATAAATGCAATACTTTTGTTTTTGCCCCCATTTTTCATGAGCTGAACTCAAAGAGACCTTTTGTGTACATACACTTTTTCTATGTACACAAAAGGCCTATTTCTCTCAAATATTGTTCACAAATCTGTCTAAATCTGTGTTAGTGAGCGCTTCTCCTTTGCCGAGATAATCCATCCACCTCACAGGTGTGGCATATCAAGATGCTGATTAGACAGCATGATTATTGCACAGGTGTGCCTTAGGCTGGCTACAATAAAAGGCCACTCTAAAATGTACTGTTTTACTGTATTGGGGGGTCCGGGGGGGTCCGAAAACCAGTCAGTTTTGCCTCACGCAGTGCAACACATCTCTTTCGCATAGAGTTGATCAGGTTGTTGATTGTGACCTGTGGAATGTTGGTCCACTCCTCTTCAATGGCTGTGCGAAGTTGCTGGATATTGGCAGGAACTGGAACACGCCGTCGTATACGCCTATCCAGAGCATCCCAAACATGCTCAATGGGTGACATGTCCGGTGAGTATGCTGGCCATGCAAGAACTGGGATGTTTTCAGCTTCCAGGAATTGTGTACAGATCCTTGCAACATGGGGCCGTGCATTATCATGCTGCAACATGAGGTGATGGTCGTGGATGAATGGCACAACAATGGGCGAGTGGCCTTTTATTGTGGCCAGCCTAAGGCACACCTGTGCAATAATCATGCTGTCTAATCAGCATCTTGATATGTCACACCTGTGAGGTGGATGGATTATCTCGGCAAAGGAGAAGTGCTCACTAACACAGATTTAGACAGATTTGTGAACAATATTTGAGAGAAATAGGCCTTTTGTGTACATAGAAAAAGTCTTAGATCTTTGAGTTCAGCTCATGAAAAATGGGGCAAAAACAAAAGTGTTGCGTTTATAATTTTGTTCAGTGTATATATAAATACACACATGCATGCATATATTTCAGAAAGATATGTTATGTTTATATATTAAATATACTTATTTATAATATAAATTATATGGATATAAATATAGACGTAAATACAGGTAAATATTTTCAAAATATATTATGTATGAGTGTTATATATATACATAATAAATATACACAGAACACATATTATGCAAACAAAAACTTTTATTTTGGATGCGATTAATCGTTTGACAGCACTAATATATATATTTTTTTTTTATTTTGATACTTTTGAATGGTATTATGGTTTCCACAAAAAATATGAAGAAGTACAATATAGTGAGAATATAGTGTTTTCTATATTCATAATAATCAGAAATGTTTCTTGCACAGTTAATCAGCATATTAGAATGATTTTTTAAGGATTTTGTGACAGTGAAGACTGGAGTAATGATGCTGACAATTCAGCTTTGATCACAGAAATAAGTTACATTTTAATATATATTCACATAAAATACAGGTATTATAAATTGAAATGTTGTTTTCACAATATTAGTGTTTTATCGTATTTTTTATCAAATAAATGCAGCCTTGGTAAACATAAGAGTCTTCTTTTAAAAACATAAAAAAATCGTATTAATCCCAAACTTTTGACTAGTTATTTAACTCTGTCCCCGCCAGCGTTTTTGAAAAACGTTGCCAGCCACCGCCAGCGTTTTTGCCGATTTTGACTAAAATTTCATGACCCCCAGAATATTTTGTTGTATGAATATCTGAACATGCATTACATCAGGACCCATCAGACCCTCTACTTTAAAAAAAATATATATATATATTTTAGCTTCAAGCATTGTTTTTTTTATCAACACTTGAATGTAGGTAGGTTTCATAAAAGCAACATTTTGAGCTAAAAGCTGAGAAAATCGCATTTTTATCAAATACTACATGTGGATAATATTCAGTAATATTATCAAAGCAAAGATGCAGTAGATGGCTTCCATCTGCATTGGAGGTCTTCTCGGGTCCTAAAATCTTTACCCGACCCGAATCACTTCTTACCCGAACCCGATGTGCATAAATAAATTTTTTTAAAAGAAAAACCCAACCTGAGACAGACCCGATGAAATTAGACCCGAGCCCGACTCGACGGCATTTAATTTCGAACCCGACTGGACCCGAACGTAAACAGCATTGACGTGTGTACAGCCTGCAGCCCTGCGCGCAGTCAGTCAGGAAAAATCCCGGTGTCCTGCAGACTGATTTGGCCATTACTTTAATTTATTTAAAATGTATTAAATTTATTATTAGGCTACTTTATATTAGTGCCTGCCTGATGGATACAAGTTATTTCTGAGCTCGGCTTTCAATTGTGACCAGTGGATTTGAAACATAAACGTGATAGTTTGATAAAAAAATAAATCGATAGCCTAATAATTCATGGATTCGCTAGTGTTGTCTGCAACCTGATCTCTAGCGAATAGCTTCTGCACACAAAAAATAAAAGCCCTGCATGAACACGCAGCATAATGAAGCGAGTGGATTTTCCTGATGGATCTCATATCTATAAGATGATTTCTGTGTGCGAGGTTACAAACATATGCTCCTTTTCTATGTGCGTTCCTCACTTAACGTGAAAGTAGCCTACGCATTCGGGATAGTTTAGAAGAATTCAGGTCTAATCGGGTCCATTTGGAAAAAGCATGTTTATTTTAAATTACCCGAGACCCGAGGTCGCTAATACCGAACCCCACCCGTGTCCGAAGTACTAGTCGAAGTTTTGGACCCAAACCCGCTCGGGAGACCTCGGGTTTTCGGATCGAAGTGGACCCGTGAAGACCTCTAATCTGCATCCTAAAGTTTGCACAGTCCTTTACCACTTCCTGGATTGACATTTCACTCTGTAACATTAGGCAGTTTTCATTTATATGCGGTTGTGATGATCGCATTATTTTTAATTTGCATATGCTTACATATGAGATCGCTCGTTTCTGCATCTTCCTGGTCTGTTTTTGATCGGCACATTCAAGACTCATTTAGGAGATGTGTAATAGCCCCCCCTAGCGTATAACAGAGAATGCGGAAACCCAGAAAATTCTGTGTTTGGTGCGGAAAGAGTTAAATTAACCATTCAATTTGACAGTAATGCAATGATGAGGGCCTCATTTATAAAATGCTGTGTAGAAACCATCCTAAATTTGATCTTACGATCATCTCTCAACTATGCATACGTGTGATTCATAGAATGAGCGTACGCACAGAAATTGCATGTGCACCTCTGTTTCAGATGTGAGATCACCAGTCATCATCCAAATCCTTTAATTTAGAACAGCGAGCTGCTACAATGAAATACAGCTTACATTTCCAAAAACCTGTAGAACGCTAAGCACTTTTCCACATCAAAGACAATTTTTACAATTATGAGTGCTGGCGTGGATTTAAGCGTACGTACACTCTAAGAATAAAATCTGTGCATACGCACACTTTATAAATGAGGCCCATAAACTTGGATATTTGAGAAAATCTACATAATTTAAATAAACTGTATCATTCTGAAGTTAATTAGAAATGGATCAGCAGACAGCTTAAAATGTCAAAACATCCGGCATTACAGCAATTTCACACCAACCGGAGGCAATTAGCAAACTAGTTCCACGTGTGTATCACACCAATGTACATATTTTGTGACAGCAAACTAATATAAAGTCTAAATTCAAAATTAACAAGTAATATTATTTTTTAATGCCAGTAGCCTTAATTTTTGCTAAACCTGTTTAATGACACTTAATGCTTTTCAATGCCCCGCAGGAAACCCCGTATTATAGGTGTATAATATACATGATTTACTTGTTGACATTTTAAATCTCCAGTCAGTAGTCCACTGTTCCACCTTTTTAATGGTTGCCCGCATGCAAGAAATTACTTGCAAAAAAATTTGAACCCTCTTCCATATGGCACCATCATCAACATATAATGCACATCCTATACCAGGGCCTACATTGTCAAATATATCATTAATCATAAAATTAAAGGGACTAATTACACTTCCCTGTGGTATACCGTTTTCTGCATTAAATACAGATGACTGACTTGATCCTACCTGCACCATAAATGTCCTTTGAAATAAAAATGGTAAGAACCAATTATACATTTGACCCGTTTCTCTCATTCTAGAAGATTTTTTAACAATCCTTCTCTCCATGCCATACCATATGCTTTGGCTGAAACAAGAAAATGTTTTTCTTAATAAATTTGCATTGTCTCATTTCTTGTATGAATCTAGCTGACATTATACCTAGGAATAAGACACACAAGTGCCCCCTAGAGGTGAATAGTAAAAATAGCTCATGAAAAAAATCAAGGTAACACCGTTAACACTGTTACAATATCCACATCGCTATGATGCTTTCATAAATGCTGTTTTGTCACCATTTATTTTGTTTATGAAAGGAAAACGTGCAGCACATATTTACATATTAATCAAGTTTAAATGTCGCATTAAGATGCTTTCGTTGTTCCAATCGTAAGTACACCTCTAAATTCATCCACTTCCACTCATTTGACTGGATTTCTGTCGTAGTGTAAACATGCATGTTGTAAAATTGATTGAAGACCGCCTTCTCTCCACCTACTGATCTATAGCATCTTTCCAGGTGGGATATAAACTCTGGCAGCTTATGTTGTAAGTTTGGTTTAAAGATGCAAAATGTACCAAGCACAATGTTCTCTGCCAAGCCCCACTTCTAACATGCATCCACAGCATTTGGTGTGGTTTTGCCGCTATCAGAGCAGAAACGAAAGCTGCTGCTCTTCTTATCTTTTTCCATTGTCTCATTTCACGTTTACATGTAAATTGTGTGAATGTGTTTTATCCAATTGATCAAAATATCTGAAAAACCCATGCATTTACCTACCCAATGACTCCCCACACTTGAAAAAATAGACAGTTTATTTGAGATCCGATCAACCAAAACACATTTTAAATCCAGGTGTAAACAAGGCCCAAATCCGCCGCTATGAACCATCTGTGAACCTCAAGATTGCCTTGTTTCTGCAAGTCTTTCCACAGTGATGATGGCACATGGAAGTCTTTTGCCTGGTGTTATTACATGATACCCAAGATGTTTCTTGTCTGTGAAACTTTCCACAATTCCACACTGATGACATAAAAACAGCTCTCTCATATGTGAAAACTCATGTGGGCCTTTAGGGCTGCTTTATGTCCGAAACTCTTTCCACAGTGACCACATGTAAACGGCTTCTCTCCAGTGTGAACTCTCATGTGCCTGTTAAGGGTATCTTTCCGGTTGAAATTTCTTCCACACTGTTGGCAGGTGAAAGGCTTCTCTCCAGTGTGAGTTCTTATGTGGTCTTCCAAGTGTTGTTTATAATTGAAACTCTTTCCGCACTGAGGGCATGTGTAGGGTTGCTCTCCAGTGTGAATTCTCATGTGGCCTTCAAAGTGTCGTTTTTGATGGAAACTCTTTCCACACTCGGAGCACGTGTAGGGTTTCCCTCCATGAATTTTCATGTGGACTTTAAGGTTTTCATGTTGATCAAAACACTTTCCACACTGTTGGCAGGTGTAAGGCTGCTCTCCATTGTGAACTCTCATGTGTCTGTTAAAGCTTTCTTTTTGAGTGAAACTCATTCCACATTGTTTGCAGGTGAAAAGGCTCTCTCCAGTGTGAACGGTCATGTGGGAAAGAAGGTTTCCTTTCCGGTTGAAACTTCTTCCACACTGTTGGCATTTGTAAGGCTTCTCTCCAGTGTGAACACTCATGTGGACTCCAAGGTTTCCAAGTTGAGTGAAACTCCTTCCACACTGTTGGCATGTGTACGGCTTCTCTCCATTGTGAATTCTAACGTGTCTTTTAAGAGTTACTTCGCGATTGAAATGCTTTCCACACTGCTGGCAGACATAAGGCTTTTCTCCTGTGTGAATTCTCATGTGTCTTTTAACACCTTGTTTTTGTCTAAAACACTTTCCACACTGTTGGCAGGTGAAATAACTACTACTTCCTGTCTTTTCAGTCTGTGAACTAAAAGATTTTTCTCCAGTTACTAAATCATGTCGATTCTTATATTGATCTTCCTCTTCCATTTCATTGAGTTCTTGACTCTCCTCTTTCAGCACCATCGGGTCTAAGGCGAAAAAAAGACAAATAAAAATTAACCCCAATTTAATGGCACAAAGCAACAGATGTCAAAATATTCAGACATGTAAAGTGTCAAAACCAACATAAAACTAGATCCTATACCCACTAAGTAACTAAAAAGAGGCGTTGCATGTAATCTGAGAATCACTTCCCAATGTTGCTAATTCTTTCTCACTTTAAGGCATGTCTCAAAAACTATAAAGCTGGCAATTAAACCTTCTGTTTAAAGAATTAGTTAACTTCCAGAATAAACATTTCCTGATAATTTACTTGGCCCAATGTCATCCAAAATGTTCACGTCTTTCTTCAGTCGCAAAGAAATTAAGGTTTTTGAGGAAAACATTCCAATAATTTTCTCCATATAATGGACCTCAATGACGGCCAACGGGTTAAAGGTCCAAATTTCAGTATCAAATGCTCGTCCTACACTAGCTCTGCGTTGCGCATTTACGTCTTCACGCATTCATCTCTGTACTTCGGTTCAAAAAGACAGGGTAGGGTGGAAAAACTCCATCTCATTTTCTCCTCCAACTTCAAAATCGCCCGTCATTGTTGTTTTACCTTTTTTGTATGGGACATTTGACTTTCTTTGCACATTTGCTTTGTAAACATTGGGTTGGTACTTTCGTCTATGTCTCGCATATGTGATTAAGTAATGCATGAGGTTGAGCTAGTGCAAGACAAGCATTTGTGGTTAAGTATACAAATTTATTTTAGAAAATGACCGATCTTTCGCTAGATAAGACCCTTATTCCTTGGCTGGGATCGTGTAGAGCCCTTTGAAGCTGCATTGAAACTACAGTTTGGCCCTTCAACCCTTTGGGTCAAATTGAAGTCCACTAGATGGAAAAAAAAATCTTGGAATGTTTTCCTCAAAAACCTTAAAGGGGTCATATGATATTGCTAAAAAGAACATTATTTTGTGTATTTGGTGTAATGAAATGTGTTTATGCGGTTTAAGGTTAAAAAAACACATTATTTTACACATACTGTACATTATTGTTGCTCCTCTATGCCCCGCCTTTCTGAAACGCGTCGATTTTTTACAAAGCTCATCGGTCTGAAAAGTGAGGTGTGCTCTGATTGGCCAGCTATCCAGTGCGTTGTGATTGGCCGAATACCTCAAGCGTGTGACGAAAATGTTACGCCCCATACCATGCTGTGATGATGCCGTCAGGCCGGAGCGATGAGACAAAAACAATAAAACCCATTATAAACGAGGCATTCGCTGCATCCAGTGGGGACATAATTATTCTGGAAGTTAACTAATTCTTTAAAAAGATATCAATCACCAATTTACTACATCTTCTAGGGATTAAAGTGTAAAGAAACGTGGGGGAAAAGAAACTCCCCACTTAACCATTAGACCCAAAACTCATTACACAGAAATTCATGTAATAATTTATTTTAAGAGAAAACTGGCAATATTCAGGGAAGAAGCAGCAGATGTTTGTTATAACTGAGATGACATCACTGTGGTTCAAACGACACTGACAGGTGGAGTTACAATTCCCCAATTAACCAAATCTGAAAGCAACACATTCACAGAAGCAAGAGAGAACAGCAGAACAAAACAATAATACAAATCCATTTAACACCATTTATGTTTAATGGGGGCTTTTATGCTTTTTACACTTTCAACGTTCTTTAGTGTGTAATGTTACTGTTTAAGCATGAAAAAGATCACAGAACTTATAAAGCAGAAATCACTCCAAAACAACTTATTCTTTATTTTAGTAAGCACTGTTTCTGAACTCCCTCAACTGTCTCGATTGTAGTCCTGAATTTTCTTCTGGGAACGTACACGTCCACAATATCCCTGTCCAGGGCCTGGTTGAGTTGCATTAGTAGTGCGTTGTCACCATGACCAAAAGACTCTGTTTCACAGATCTAAAATACTGGCGCACACGTGATTTCTTCCCCAGCTCTTCACATTCACAGACATAAGCAACATTATCAGGGACATTATCAGGGGCAGGACTTTTGAAATCAAATGAAAGATTTATTTTTGCCTTTTATTTGATAGGACAAGTAGTTAGACAGGAAGCAGAGTTGGAGAGAGAGAGAGGGGACGGGATTGGGAAAGGTCCGCAAGCCGGGACTCGAACACGGGACGCCCGAAGCTCAAAGGAGCTCCACGTCGACGCGCTGCCCACGAGTGCCGACCAAATTAAAAGACTTTAAGACTTTTTTAAGACCTTAATTAATAACAGGGGGGAAGGCAATCGGGGCCTGCGATTTTGTGTTTTTGCTTCCACCCAAGAAAGGTGTTTACAGCATGAAATAATAATAATTACTACGAATTATTTTGAGCTAAAATTTCTCAGACACATTCTGGGGACACCTTAGACTTAATTAGACCTATATTAAATAGTCTATAATTTTTTTTTTTTTTTTAATTTTGCAGAGAAACTGTAGTAATTTTTGAAGAATTACAGTCAACATTTAATGCCCACCATTGCACAAAAACTGCTTATTAAAGTTACAAATGACCTGCTTTTGCCATCTGATTGTGGCCACATCTCTCTTCTAGCACTGTCATTTCTGAAATAGCTCCTTTTTGTAAACCTCTTGTAACACTGAGAAGAACGGCAATGTTTTTCCAGAATGAGTTTGCAAATGATGTTTAAAGTCTTTTTGATGTGTGAAACATTTTGCAGGTGAAAGGTCTCTCTCCATTGTGAAGCCTGTTACTTTATATCTGAAGCTCTTTTCATACTGATTGCATGTAAATGGCTTCTGTTCATGTGATACCTAAGGTTTGGTTTTGTTGTGAAGCTTTTTTTACATTTATCTTTTCCAGATGCAGGTTTAATGCTTCTCTCTGGTATGAATTCTCATGTGGTATTTAAAGTGTCCTTTTTGATTGAAACTTCTTCCACACTGTTGGCAGGTGAAAGGCTTCTCTCCAGTGTGAATCATCATGTGCTTGTTAATGCATCCTCGTTGAGTAAAACTTTTTCCACACTGACAGCATGTGTAAGGCTTCTCGCCAGTGTGGACATTCATGTGATTTTTGAGGTTTCCTTTGTGAGTGAAACATTTTCCACACTGTTGGCAGATGAAAGGCTTTTCTCCAGTGTGAATTTTCATGTGGGCAATAAAAGTATGTTTATGTGGAAAACTATTTCCACATTGAGGGCATGTATAAGGTTTCTCTCCAGTGTGAACTCTCATGTGGCTTTTAAGGCTTGCTTTTTGACTGAAACATTTTCCACACTGTTGGCAGATGAAAGGCTTTTCTCCAGTGTGAATTTTCATGTGGGCATTAAAAGCATGTTTATGTGTAAAACTCTTTCCACATTGAGGGCATGTATAAGGTTTCTCTCCAGTGTGAACTTTCATGTGGCTTTTAAGGCTTGCTTTTTGACTGAAACTATTTCCACACTGCTGGCAGGTAAAAGGCTTCTCACCGGTATGAATCCTCATGTGGACTTTAAGGTTTCCTTGTAGATTGAAACTCTTTCCACACTGTTGGCAGGTGAAATGACTTCTCGTTTCAGTCTTTTGAGCTCTTTTAGATGAGCAACTAAATGATGTTTGTCCAGTTATGGAATCCTTGTATTTCTTACACTGATCTTTATCTTGCATTTCATTCAGTTCTTCACTCTCTTCTTTCAGTGCCATCAGGTCTATGGCGAAAAGAGACAAATACAAGTTAACCCCCATTAAAAAGCAACAGTAAAACAAAGTAACAATGGCCCAAATCTGCCATTTACATCTACAACAGGGGTGTCAAGCTCAGATTGTGGAGTTTCAGTCTTGCAGAATTTAGATCCGACACTCCTACCTTTAGTTTTCAAGTAATGAATACCTTGATTCAGGTGTGTTCAATTAGAGTTGGAGCTAAACTCTAGAGCAGGGCTTTGGCCCTCCAGGAACTGAGTTTGACATCCCTGGTCTACAATATTAGAAAATACTCTTTTCAACAATGTTCAGTTTTGCAGAAAAACTGTATTTCTGAACAATATTAGTCAGGATTTAAGCCCATTGTAACACAGAAACTATGCTTATTAAATAGGGTGGCCATATGTGACATTTATATGGGACACATCTTGGCCAGGATTTTTATATTGCCTAAAACATCCAAAGTAGTTTGACCAATAACATGCAGGTATTATATATAATCGACCAATCGTGGCGCGTGAGAAGGTGAGATCTACAGAGGGCGATCAAAGCAATGCAAATACGCACACGTTTGTTTGTTGGACTTGAGGCGTCGCTGCACACCGATCATTGTATGACACCAAAGTACCGCGAAAGCAATTCAAAAGCTATATATAGCTCTCGCGAATGTCATACAACGATCGATCTGCAAAGTGCAAACAGCCAAAACCTGGATATTTTAGGCAATATAGAAATCCTGGCATGGACACAGCCCGTAAAAAATGGCCATATGGTCACCATATTATTAAAGATATATCTCTCTCCTAGAGCTATTGGATCTTCAACCACATTCTGTTGGATAGCTTGAGAATTATGTAGGCAGTTGTGGACAAGAAATAATATGCTTTTTGTCCTATCTATCTGACTGGTACCACTTTGTGTAAATAAAGAGACATCTCTTCATACACAACTATGGAAAACACAACTCTTGTTTCCTTTGGTACAGTATTAACATACCTGCATATAGATCCACATCCCTGCTTGCCTGGACCCATTCCCACACATTACAGAACAATGGATCTAGCAGGTATGCAGCTTATTCTCCTGCGCCAGGGGAGCACTCCCTCGAGGACCATACCCGTGATTTCTTGGACTAAGCAAACCACACTCACTTTCTAGACAGTTTTCTCATTACCTTTTATTGTGCTGGTCTGAATGATCCTCTAGGTCAGGCGTTTTCAAACCTGTCCTGGAAGACCCCCAGCCCTGCACATTTTGTATATCTCCCTTATCTAACACACCTGATTCAACTCATCAGCTCGTTAGCAGAGACTGCAATAATTAAATTGGGTGTGTCTGATGTGCAGGGCTGGGGGTTCTCCAGGACAGGTTTGAAAACCACTGCTCTAGGTACACAACTATCCTGTGTTGGTCCTCAAGGGACATTTGAGCAATTTGGTTCCCCCTTCACTGTGGGGGAGGTGAGGGAGGACTCTTCCTCTAAACAGTTTTTGGGGGGTAGTTATGCTCCTCAAGCTTTGGCGGACATGGAGCTTGGGCTGTCACTTATGTTATCAGCCTGCACCAACTCGGCTACTGGACCAATCTTGGGGCGTCCAGTGGGGCAGACCCTCCATTGATGTTGGTCCGAGTGGCTGCCACTCCAGAGTCTCGTAACCACAGGGCTGCTACCCCAGTCTCTCCATGACATTGTCACCACTTCAGAGTCTCATCACGACATGGCCACCACGCCAGAGTCTCCAGCCATCATGGACACCAAACCAGTTTTTCCGAGTGTCATAAACGTCACATCTGAGGCTACAAGGGCTTGCAGTTTGGCGGACCCACCACTGATGTCCGTGCGAGCAGTTGGTATCCTGACATCCTCAGCGTTCTCAAGCCCGATGGCCTCAGCGGTTCTTCCACCTTCTGCTGCCCTTTCCAGTGATGGTGGTCACCATTTTGTGTCTGGGCTGTACACACTTCTCCCGAGGCGGCGGTGAACGCTACAGAACCTCCCGAGGAGGTGGCAACCATCCCTGAGCTCTCTGCCTGTCCTGTCATGGCCATGGAAGCCATTTCTGAACACTTTCTCTTTGCTTTCTGTGACAGTTCTGCCTGTGTCGCCGCGATGGTCTTCCGCTCTGCCTGCTCCGCCTTTGTGGTCTTCTGGCTCCACCCTGGTCTTCTGTTTCACCCACGCAACCAGATCTGCTTGCTTCGCTCTGGTCTCCCGCTCTGCTTGCTCCATCCTGGCCACCCGCTCTGCCAGCTCCATCCTGGCCACCCGCTCTGCCAGCTCCATCCTGGTCACTTGCTCCACCACAGTCTCCAGGCCCTCTTCCACTCCATCTGCTGTGTGCCTTGTTTGTCATAGTTACACTCATTAGTTGCCATAGCCACTCATTGGACTATACCCACTCCTTGTTAGTTCCCATAATAACTCGTTGGTTCCTTTTGTTCTCCCTTGTATATAGCGCTTGTGTTTCCCTTGTGCTTTGTTAGTGTTTTTTGCTCATGTTTCCTGTTCCTTGTTTGTTGTGTTCCTTGACTTTTGTTTCCTTTGTTAAATTAATAAATTACCTTCATATAGGACCACATGCCTGCTTGCCTGGATTTATTCCCCCACATTACTTACACACACACACATATATATACATATTTACTTATTTATTTTAGGGATGTCACAATTTTCGATATAACATCAAACCATTCGGTACGACATCCACTGTTCAATACGCGTTTGTGAATTGCGGATTTTCAGTTTTGCGTTTAAATAATATTTGTGTTTTATTTTACTCAGAATTGGCTGTGTGTGTGTGCCTGTGAGTTCACGTGCTGAGATGAGGAAACACCTCCCCACTTATATTTGAAAAAGCAACACACGCTGAGCATCTTCCCTTATAATGACATGCAATGATAATCCTTTCTAAACCTGTTGTCCAACAAAAGAGAACATTATAACTTGTTTTTACTTCACAACATTAGTCGAGTCTTTGAAATAACTTCCTTTTGTGATCTGATGTGGCTTCTTATCACAGAATGAGGCAGAAAATTCTACACTGTAATAAAGGCTATGCCAATTAGAAAAGGCTTGAAAAACACACAAACCAAATTGTCGCGGGAGAGTGTTTATTGTCCTTAGCCTACATTTCATCATTCAAAACATTTAACGTTATATCTTCTTTTTATTCAGTTACAGCGATAGCTTTGTCCATATTAGGGATTTCCTGGAACGTCATCAGTGTTACTTCTATGATGCATATGTGGATTTTCTGCGCGAGGGCGCCCTCTGGCGTCCAGTATGAATGAAACACACATTACATGTGTTTATAGCACTCAATAATGGCCAATCCATCCTATTTTGGGTAACAATCAGAAAAATAATACCTCTCTCAAAAGAAATGTTAAGCAGACATATAAAAATCTACACTTTTTCCAGTGTACAGAGGTTTACAGGAGTTTTTTTGTTGTAAAAAAAAAAAACACTGATGTGCCAAGCTATCAGAACCGAACTGAACCGAAAACTGTGGTTAAAAAGCGAGGTACATATTGAACCGTGGACTAACTGTATTGTTGCATTCCTATATACAGTGGGTACGGAAAGTATTCAGACCCCCTTAAATTTTTCACTCTTTGTTATATTGCAGCCATTTGCTAAAATCATTTAAGTTAATTTTTTTTCCTTATTAATGTACACGCAGCACCCCATATTGACAGAAAAACACAGAATTGTTGACATCTTTGCAGATTTATTAAAAAAGAAAAACTGAAAAATGCTCAGTATTTAGTAGAAGCACCCTCTTGATCTAATATATATATATATATATATATATATAAACACCCAATCAAACTATATTTGCAAAACACCATGTTTGAAGACAAAGGGTTATAAACTTTGCCAGAGGAAGGACACTTTCTCAATGGCTCACTTGCCTTCTGAGGGGTGTGACATCCTCACACTGTAAAAGATCACTGATCTCAAGATCAGGGCAGTTTGGAGTTCTAGGATTCTGAATATTCAAGAGAAGATGCTTAACTAAAAGTCTTTGACACACCTTAAACTTGTGCCAGACTCTGGCCAGGTCTTTCCATTCATCAAAGATCCTGTGATTCATCAACCAACTTCATCAAAGACCAACTGGAGCCTTAAATTGGATCAGGACTCTCTCTCAAATAGGTGAGCTGTGCAAGAATCAAGCTTTACACCTTCACATATCCTTTACACCTTTTTCTGTCTGAACTAAGTAAATGGCTGTAGATTTGCTCAATATCAAATTCTACCATAACTTCATACTTTTATTCTTTACTGCTTAAGTTTGAAACCTTTTCCTATGCCAACTGTGTGTATGTGTGTTTTTTTAATTTTATCGCACTTGAGGTTATTCATTGTTTTGCTCATAACTGGAGTCCCTAATAATGCAAATTTTGCTATGTGCTCTTAGTATTGTACCATAAAAAAAGTTGTTTTCCATAACCAGGAAATTAACACTTCTTATAACTGATAGAAAGTTAAGACTGAGACATCAAGTGAATACTTACAGCTCATCTATTTATAATTAATTATAATTATAGTTAATATTTTATATTTACCTTTGAGCTAATTTGCTACAAGTGCCACAGGTCTCAGTATTAGCTCCTCTGCTTTCAGAGGTGTAAAGAGTGTAAACCTGAAAACCATACTTGAGTAAAAGTACAGATACCTTACAATGAAAATTACTCCACTACAAGTTACAAGTCACCAATTTCAAAACAACTTGAGTAAAAGTTTTCGAGTATCTGATTTTAACAGTATTAATATAAAATACTTAAGTATTTTACTTATAAAACTCCCCTCTTCTCCTTCTGTCTCCTCACTGAGGCATACCTCAAGTAAGCAAGGTTTGGGTTAATCACCCGAGAGTTCAGGGTTTAGCAGAGGGTAAGTTAACCCTGCTTTCTGAAATACCCCCAGCTGACTTATCAAGACCACATTGCAAAAACTGCTC